GATGGCAGATAGACGGCAAGAAAAATGCGGCTTACGTGTTCCCTTTTCCACTCTCATTTCCAAATATTCCAATTATAACAATATAAATGCAAATTCAAATTATAATCATGTTGTTGTGGTCGATACAGTTAAGGACAGGCTATTACTAAGGGCAGAGTTGCAACATGTAGTGGAACAGTGGTTCTAAGCACTTATAAATTTGCACGGTTTGCATTACTTGTGCACTATCAACACACGACTGGCAGTTTTCATGTTTTTCATCCTCACCCAGTTAAGATCCCTAACCATCATAACATCAAATCCAACTCTATGGCGTATTAAACAGGAAACAGGAACATCGCGCAGACTAAGAATTAATCATTCCAAACGACGAAAATGAACAACACCAGAATTCTCATATCATTATAATCTGTCTATATAATAAATAATGTGCAGTAAATAGGATAATCGGTGGCCACTTGCTGTTAAGGAATTGTTCGCCTTACGTATAATGTTATAACCGTTGTCATGGCATTTGTGTTAGGGGATGTTTGGCCTCGTGTAATTGTTCAGGTACTTCTATTAAAGGCAGCACAGATCTTGCAACCTCCATATAAGATGCTATTTTATTAAAAGACATTAAATCGTATGATAATGATTTTAATTTTTGTGCAATGCATGACTTAATTTTAATGTTTATATTTTGCTTTGTTTGCCTCTGTATGGAAACAATGAAAGGAAACAAAAGACTGTTCGTTCATCAATGACCTACTACGTACATGTACTAACAACGCAGCAAAACAATCATTACGTGTTAACGCTTCCTAGCTTTCGCAATTAAGCAAAAATGAGGTAGTTTTTATTTTTAAACCCTGCTTCCATAAACTTTTTAATAAAATTCGTTTTTAGTAAGACTTTCCCAATATTCTTGACGGGCAATTTCCTTGAATCGTATAATTTACTTACACGTTGTTTTAAGACGGTTTAAAACTTTCATTCTATCTATGACACTTTAAAAAATGGTAGGGTGAACTATTTTCATCTACGGAGAACGAATTAGGAGGATCACGAAACTACATAATGCCGTGATTTAAATTTATAACGTTCAGTCTTCGCCAAATATAACTAAATCAAGGATAAGATAGGCGGTATATGTAGCATGCATGAAAACTCAGAGAATATATATAGCAAGATGAAATTTTATTCGTAAAGACTCAGAAAAGATAGAAGAAATAATAATAGACGGAAGGATAATAGTAAAATTTAAGTCAAAGAAATTCGGTGCGACGGTGTGAACTTGATTAATCTTTTTCAGAACACGGTGCATTGGTGCACATGTTATGAACACAGTGGCGTGCCTCCAGTTACATAAAAGACGGTACATTTCTCCACAATCTCGACGACAATCAGCTTGTCAAGTAGGATTTTGCTGCATGTTTCTTAGCTACTTTTTAAGAGAACAAGGCAATCACAGTGTCTTGATTTAATCGTTAATAAATCAAGACACTACAGAATAACTTATAATTCATGATATTCCTCCAAAATCACAAACCATTTTTCTGAACCGTACAAGAAAGTAGGAAGGTAATTAAATAAATAAAATAATATATTATTATACCTCTTATTACTCCAAATCCAAGTATATATAATTACAGAGAAAGGTAAAGTAGAGACCATTTGTACCGACACCACCTAACGCGCCACTGAACTTCACTGCCAACAGCTGACAATTCCCAGGTCCAGACCTTGTCTGGTCCCTTTTTCTCTCAAACAAATGCACCCTAGTTTGTGTGGGTTTGTATCACACACTAAAAGAAACTTTGCTGCTTCATTAGACGTGACAGTCCATTTACCTCCTCTACTGTGATTTCAGATCTTCCACATTACACAGACTCAATAACCAAACCTTGGCAACAATTTTTTATTTTATTATACAGTACACATTAACTGCAATCCTGAAACATTCTACATTCCCTGACTAGTTCAGAGTATCCATAATTAAAAGTACGAATAAATATCACTGCAAGTATTTGTGTATAAAAGAGAATGTTGTGGTGTAACGGTTATATTCATGCATGTATTCCTGGTTTCGGCAGTTCGAAAAAAGGTTATCTTGAGATATTCTTAGGAGGTATTTCTGACATCCCCCAATTGAAAACATTCCCATGTTCTTAATAATACTGTAGTTTCTAAATATATTCCACGCACTGCACATACTCGGTACGAAATTTAAAAACAGAAACAGACTGCAAGCCAGTGTTTCTCGACCGGTGTTGGCAGACTAAAACCTCGATACATCACGCCATTATATATAGTATATTATGGACAAAGTGAAACTGGGGCAGGTTTTCCTCAGAGCCTTTCGGTTCGTACCATTCCACCAATGATCATCTTAGGGGTAGATAATGGGTCTATTAGAAACATAGTTCCACAGAGATAGTTCCACCCCATCGTAAAAATAAAATAAAAATAGATGAAGTTGCCTTTTCGCTACG